CTGGGGGCTGACTGTGTGCCAAGTGCTGAGCGAGGAAAGGAAGGTTGCAGAGGTGATGGGATGTGGCTCCTGACTCCTAGTTCTTACTGTCTGGACGCAGCAAAGTCTGGAGGGAAGGTGAAGTGACATCATCTTGCTAGGGTGAAAACCAGGCCAGGAGGGGCAATACTACCTCCCCCCTGCCTCACAGCTTCCCAGAAGGCCAGTTAGCCTTGGACCCAGAGGCAGGACCCAGCGCAGGGTGGGGAGGGCTTGGCCGACCTGCAGGCTGTGACTCCCACCTCTGTGCTGCACGGCTTCCCCCTCCCCCTCCTCATGGGAGCAAGGGATCCATGGAGAGGGCGGGGTGAGGGCTCAGGTCTGGCTCCTGGACACAACAACATTGTAGGGAGACACCCTCCTTCCTGGTTGGCAGTTGGATCAGGAATCCCCCAGAATTGGTCCAACAGCCCCCAGATGGGTTAGGGGACCCCTTGGCCAGGCCAGCCCAGGGTCACCTCCCTCATTTTGCCTGCAGGCAGCCAAGCTGGGAAATGAAGTCCCCTCCCCTGTGGCTCCAGCACTCATTACTGTAAACCCTGGGATTAATTTAATTACACGCTCATCTCCTAGAGGTTGGGGCTTGCAGGCGCCCAGCGGGATCAAGAATTTTGAGGCTGCTGGGAAGGATGGTCCTCCCGGGAGCTGGCCCTTCCGGGGGTCTCCTGCCCTCCAGCCCTCGCCTGGGAGGGTCCTGATCACTCTTGTTCTTCCTGTCTGTAGGGTGCCTACTCCTGACCCAGGGGTGACTGATGCTGGTTTGCTGGCTCCTGGCAGCCTGGAGAGCCAGCCTAGGGAGCTGAGTGCGGGGAGAGGGTCGGGGTGGTGGGTTTAAAGCGTCAGTTGCTTCAGTGGGTGGCCATGCATGTAATGTGAAGGTACAAGAGTTTAATCCATTCTCCTTTTTTTTTTGGACAGAGTCTTGCTCTGTTTCGAAGGCTAGAGTACAGTGGCGCGATCTCAGCTCACTGCAGCCTCCACCTCCTGGGTTCAAGCAATTCTCCTGCCTCAGCCTCCCGAGTAGCTGGGATTACAGGTGCCCACTACCACGCCTGGATGATTTTTATATTTTAAGTAGAAACATGATTT